GCAGACAAGATGCAGCTTTGAAGGTCATGTCCTCCTCTCCTACAGAGCAGCCATGGCCAGTTGCACAGGTTGTGTCTTACACAAGGGCACCTGTTGAGTGGGTGACTGGGAGTTGTCCCCCCCCCAGCAGGGGTGCCTTTTGCTAAATGGCATCAGCCTGTGGGTCGTGGCAGCAACCCAGTCCTCCCTTCTGTCCCCAGAGTAGGCTCCTGGTGAGCTGCAGAAGCACGCTTTAACTCTATCCATCCCTATCCATCCCTGGGGTCTGGCTCCGGTTCAGGTCTGGGCCCCAAGGCAAAGGGTGTCTGCTCCTCCTGGCTCCCCCAGTCAGCGCCCTCAGAGAAAAGCTGCGTGTGAGTGCAGGCAAGCTGTACCAGGAGGCTGCCTTCTCCACAGGCAAGGGTCATGCGAATGGCACACAACCAGGCGCTAAGGGGCGGTGGCCAGGCTACTGGAAGAAATAAACATTGCACTGAAGTTCCTCCATTTTCCCTGGAGGCAGGCACCTGCCCCCACTCCCTCCCCCTGCAGACAAAAGTCCCAGAGGTGAAAACAACGGCCCAAGGTCACCACACCCAGTGCCTAAAAGACCTCATGCAAAATGGGACCCAAAACCAACCCAGCTAAGGATCAAGCGACCTGAGTGGGGACACCTGGCTGGTAACACACAAAGATGGGAAGAGGCTGGGACTTGGGGAAGACAGCCTGGCTGAAGGGACAGCCACTGCCCAGTTTTGACACTTGGAGAGGAAACAGACCCCAATTTTCTCCTGAAGTCCCTCCAAACAGAGGAGTACTGAGGCCTAATTGACAATCTTGGTGACAAACCTTTCTGGGTCTGAAGTGAACAGGGCTCACATTTTCTAACTGCAACAGGCCAAGCCCTGATCTAAGACCTGTTGGCAAGAGCCGGAAGCCTCAGCTTTCAGAAGGGTGCCTTCTTCGCCCCTTCCCACTGAGGATCAGAGAGGCAGAGTCACTGGACCAGGGACACAGAGCAAAGGAACCAGGATTTCAGATGGAGGGAACCTTCCTCTCCACTCCTCCAAGAGAAAGCCAGGTTCCACCGCAGGGCTGGGTGCCGACATTCCATTCACACCCTCCCCCTCCCTGCTGACTCAAAGCTGCCCTCCCCCACCCTCAAAGGTCAGGAAGGTGGGGCAGGGCAAGGAGGAAGCCAAAGTGGAGAAGGGAGGCGGAAACGGTGGGGGCCAGCCAGAACAGAGGCTCCAGTACTGGGGGACGGAGGCCTGCTCCGGGCTCCCTCTGGTGGGCGAGGGGCCAAAGACAGGCAGAGACAGCAGGGCTAAGTCAACAATCTTTATTAGAAGTCTCTAGTTACTGGGAGGAGGCCATGATGCTGGACACACCTGTTGAGAGAGAGGAGACCAGGGTCAAGGTGGGAAGAGTGAATGATGAACCTCCAGCCACATACAACAGCACCCACAATTCGGTAGGGGGCGGATCACAAACCCTTTCTAGGCCCAGGTTACCACCACAAACGCAATCTGGTATAACAATTAAAGAAAACAGGGGGTCGGGCATGGTGGCTTAAGCCTGTAATCCCAGCACTTTGGGAGGCTGAGGTGGGAGGACAGCTAGAGCCCAGGAGTTCCAGACCAGGTTGGATCACACAGGAAGTCCTACAAAAAAACAGATTTAAGCCGGGCTTGGAGGCTCAGCCTGTAATCCCGTGCCTTTGGGAGGCTGAGGTGAGTGAATTGCCTGAGCCCGCAGGTTGGAGACCCGCCCGAGCAGGCGAGACCTCATCTCTACAATAAAATCAAAAAAATTAGCCGGGCGTGGTAGCGCATGCCTGTAATTCCGGCTACTTGGAAGGCGCGAGGCGGAAGGATCGCCGGATTCCAGCAGGTCGAGGCTGTGGTGGCCGGGAGCAGCCACTGCACTCCAGTCTGGGCGACAGTGAGACTCCAACTCAAAAAAAAAGAAAAGAAAAGAAAAAAACAAAAAAATACAACAGCGATTTAACCCTTTGCATTCAATGACATGCAAATCTAGCAAACCACTCTGATGTCCACTCTCAGGGCACATAAAGTCTTGCTGGTTGACGAGACCTCATCTCTACAATAAGTCAAAAATGAGCTGGGCGTGGTAGCGCACGCCTGTAGTTCCAGCTACTTGGAAGGCTGAGGTGGAAGGATCGCGGGAGCCCAGCAGGTCAAGGCTGCGGTGACTGGGAGCGGCCGCTGCACTCCAGTATGGGTGACAGAGTGAGACTCCAACTCAAAAAAAAAAAAAAAGAGTTTGCTGGTGATTATACAGGACAAATTTATGCTAATGAAAATTTTTCAAAAATGTGAGTTTCCTTGAAGTTTTCCACTCAAGTTATACAAAAAAAGCAAATAAAGAGATGGAACATATACTAAGAAGATATGCTCAATCAGTTGAGAAGTGGTTTTTAGGAATCACAAGTGCATCCTTCCACATCTTTGAACAACAGACTGGACAATACATTACATATTATTAATGTGGGAGGAAGAAAATGAGACTACATTGTCTGCTCGAATAGAAAAACACCAGGTGGAAGACATCAAACAAATTACTACTGCACAACATATATCGATGAACCTGCAATTCATGTTGGTGACTATTTCACACATTAGAAAAATATAACATACAAGCCAGGCACGGTGGTTCATGCCTATAATCCCTGCACTTTGGGAGGCAGAGGCAAGAGGACTGCCTGAGTCCAGGTTCGAGACCAGTCCGAGCAAATTGGCAAGACCTCATCTCTACAATAAATCAGAAAATTAGCTGGGTGTGGTGGTACACACCTGTAGTTCCAGTTACTTGGAAGTTTGAGGCAGAAGGATCGCCTGAGCCCAGCAAGTTGAGGCTGCAGTGGCTGTGAGTGTGCCCCTGCTGCACTCCAGCCAGGGTGAGAGTGAGACTTCAACTCAAAAGAAAAGAAAAAAATTAGCCAGGCTTGGTGATGTGTGCCTATCGTTCCAGCTACTTGGAAGGCTTAGGTGGAAGGATGGCCTGAGCCCAGCAGGTAGAGACTGCAGTGGCTGTAAGCGTGCCATTGCACTCCAGCCTGGGCAACAGAGTGAGATTGCAACTCAAAAAAAAAGAAAAAAGATACAAAATTTTCATTTTGCCATAAATAGGTTCCTCAGTGTCCAAAATTCCATTATAAGTCAAATATCATTACAATAAAATAATTGGCTCCACCGCTATACTATTTCATATTAAAGTGTGATTCGTCCTTCACTATTTCACAAAAAAGTGCAGTCAAGTTGCTAGTAGGTGATCTGCAAGATGTCTCTGAGTGCAAAGGGTTAATCTCTCATGGGATTCAGAAAAAATACAAAAACATAGACTCAAGAAGGCCTGAGTACAAACCCCAGCTCTGCCAGTTGACAGCTGAGTAACCTTGGGCAAGTTACTTAACATCTCAGTGCATCACTTTCCCCAACTTTAGGCCATCATCTATCTGATAGGATTAGAGGACTTAATGAAATACCCATGTGAGGTAACTTAAAGTAGCAAGGATTGTTTACAATGATTACTGTAACAATACTACTACTGTGTAATATTTGGAAGATATGCAAAGTGCAAGCCTTGTAGCACCTCACTACAGAAACTTTTGCCTGAGTTCTCACAAAAAACCCTGACACAGTGGGCACACCTCACCTAGAGGTGAGATTTCACAGTTCACAAATGCAGATGGCCACCTATGTAATCTTAGTCCTCAATTAAATATCCAATTAGCTGATTTGTATGGAGAAGTCAAGCTGTACCCATACATCTTTTTTCTTTTTTTTGAGTTGGAGTCTCACTCCGTCGCCCAGACTGGAGTGCAGTGGCATGCTCCCGGCCACCGCAGCCTTGATTTGCTGGGCTCTGGCGAGCCTTCTGGTTCAGCCTTCTGAGTAACTGGAACTACAGGCACATGCTACTGCACCCGGCTAATTTTTTAAATTTTTTTGATTTACTGTAGAGATGAGGTGTCGCCAAGTTGCCCAGGCGGGTCTCGAACGTGTGGGCTCAGGCAATTCACTCACTTCGGCCTCCCAAAGCGAGGGAATTACATGCTGAGCCACCGAGCCCAGCCCCGATACATCTTTAGAACACCACAGTCACACTCAAGAGGGTGGGGAAGGACCCAGAGTGTGAGGGAGCAGCCTGCCCCTGTCCCAGGCTCTCCTTCCCTCCAGGACACTTGCTCAGTGAAAATGGCAAGGGCACATGCTAACAGGAAAACCACTTGGCTCTCAGTTGCACAGTCATTGGATCCATCAACTAACTATGTCTATGGTGATGATAACAATTATCACTTAATGAATGGTGGGGCTGGCTTTCTGCTGAGTGTTACACATGGATTGCCTCACTTCACGCCCAGAATTCCACGAGGTTGGTATTGTTATTTAGTAACTTACAATAAGGCACCTGCCTTACAGTTGATGTGAGGATCAAGTGACGGACGTGTGAGGATCTACAGTGTTTATCGTACCTATGGTTGCTGTCATCCCCATTGTCTTTTTGAGTTGGAGTCTCACTCTGTCGCCCAGGCTGGAGTGCAGTGGCATGCTCATGGCCACTGCAGCCTCGACCTGCTCAACTCAGGTGATCCTTCCACCTCAGCCTTCCAGGTAGCTTGAACTACAGGTGTGCACCACCACGCCTAGCTAATTTTTTTAATTTACTGTAGAGATGAAGTCTCGCCAAGTTGCCCAGGCTGGTCTCAGGCAATTCTTGCACCTCAGCCTCCCAAAGTGCTGGGATTACAGGCATGAGTTACCACGCCCAGCCTATCCCCATTTTTCTGACGAGGAAACAGAGGCACAGAGAGCGCAAACCCCCAAGGTAGAGCATCAGGACTCCCACCCAGTTAACTTGGCTCCAGAGCCTGCACATAGGCCCGGGAGCCCCACGGACAAAGGAGGGTCAACAAGGCGGACCCCAAGAGCAGCAAGGGCGTGAAGACACCCTGCAAAGCCCTCCAGGGAAGTCACGGCGCGCACACAGGGACAGGACAGGACATAGGGCCTGGAAGCTCCAGAGAGGAACATCAGCTCCCCACCTTCCTCCTTAAGCAGGTCCCGAGACAGGGTCAGCGGAGTCTGGCAGATGCCAACTTCCCAGCCCTGAACAAGAACAGATCTAGCCAGGTCCTCGGGGCCCCCGCTGAGAGGCCCACAGCCCGAGACCTCGGCCAGCACTCACTGTCAAAGTCAATCTTCTCCACGATGTTCTTGGGCTTGATGCTCTCCTCCTGGCTGCAGACGAAGATCTGCCCCGACTCGTCGGCACTCCAGCCGTACTTGCTCATCCACACTTTCAGCTGGCTGTCTGCAGGCGACACGAGCCACAGGGGTCAGCCCAGTCCCACGGCTCAGGGCCTGGAGGCAAGGGAACGTGGCTCTCCAGGCAAGGACCCTGCCCCTGCCCCACTGGCAACTCCTGCGCGGGCAGCAGCAGAAGCGGGCCAGGTCTCCCCGGGGCAGGCCCCGCCCTTCCACACGTCATTCTCAGACCCACAGCCGGGGGGGCCTGGCAGCTTTCTCATTCTCATCATTACAGGGCTTTGGTCTTCACTCATTTTATTTAATTACTCACTAATTTTTTTGAGTCAGCGTCTCACTCTGCCACCCAGGCTGGAGGGCAGTGGCATGGTCACTGCTCATCACAGTCTCGACCTCCTGGGCTCAGGTGATCCTTCCAGCTAAGCCTGTAGCTGGAACTACAGACGTGTGCTACCACGCCCAGCTATTTTTTATTTTATTTTTTGTAGAGACGAGGTCTCATTATATACCCCTGGACTCAAGCAATCCTCTTGCTTCTGCCTCCCAAAGTTCTCGGATTACAGGCATGAACCACATTTGGTCTACATTTATCTTTTAGTTTTGGAGGAATCTTTGAAAAAAATCAATCTGCTCTGCTCGGAGTCTTCCTGTGCCAGGACCCAGAGTTTCCCTCCCACCTTCACTCTCTGCCCTAGGCACATGCACCCTGGGTGCTCCAAGAATGCGACAGATAGGTCCCTGCTCTAGGATCCTCCATGAGTCCTGCCCTCGGGCTGCACCCCACCTCACTCCACTGAGTGACAGCTAAAACACCACCTGACGAGCTGTCTTGCTTTCTGTCATAGCAGACAGCCACTGGACACATACATCGCATCTGTTTTGCTAGCTTCATGAAAACAAATTGGAACCATTTGGTTCTGTTCACTGCTGTGTGCCCAGGGTCCAGAAGAGCACCCCGCCGTAGTAGGCATTCAATTCATGCCAAGGGAACATCTTATACCAGGTTCTTATTTCCCCTGGGGTTGGGCCTTCAACAGCAACCTGGTGAGACCCAGATGAGTCCATCGGAGGAGCTGGGGAGGCCCACTGCCCCTAACCACCCCTCCCCCCCACCCAGGTGTACACAAGAACCCAGAGGGCCTTACCTGTCAGATCCCCGAGCATCTCTGCCAGCAACCAGCGGTCAATGTGCTGGTAGGTAATGCCCACGACATGGCAGATAACTGGAGGTCAAAGACAAGGACAGTGAGGGGCTGCTGCCGGGACCTCACTGCTACCCTTCCCCCACCCCTTGGGGAGCACAGGATCAAAGGGGGACTTACATTTTCGGACAGAGTCTTCAAAGCCAGTTATCCCTTCCAAGAGGTCCATGTTTTCATCCAAGGCTTGCTGTCAAGGGAATGTTCATTCCCAGTGTTAACATGACTATCAACCATGTCAACATGAGTAACGTGAACAAAAACGGCAGCTAGCTTCTGTGCACTGACCCCCCTCCCCCGCTAACCAACCATTCTGTGTGCGACCCAATGATGTCAGTTACTGCTGTCGCACTCAATGTAGAGATGACAAGACCAAGGCAGCTAAGTGATTTGCCCCAAATCCTGCAGCTGGGGTTTGAACCTGGCAAGCAGAAACCACAGCCCCGAGGACAGACAGACATAGACTAGCTAAAGGCACCCAGCCACCTGCCCTTGCTTCTGTCTCACTCAAATAAAAAACCAACCTTACCATGGCCACAAGATCCCAAAGGATATGTCTGTCACCTGTGTCACCTCCACCCACTCCCCATTTACTTCCCCTGCTCCAGCCACTGTTGCCCCTCAAACCCACCAGGCCCCTGCCCACCTTAGGGCCTTTGCATTGGCTGTTCCAATGTCTGAAATCTCCTCCCTCATAGCTAGCTCCCTCACTTCCTTCAGGTTTCTGCTCAAATATCACCTTCTCAGCAAGGGCTCCCTACAACAGGAGTGAAATGAGGAACCTACAAGGACACCGAAAAGGAAGAGCCAGTAACATGGGAGAAAAACCAGGGGAACAGCTGTCCTGGAAGTCAAGCAAGGACCAGGGCGCAACTGCCCGCATCAGAGGTAGCTGCTAGATGAGGCCCGAGAACTGCCCATGGGACCCCGCAACATGGCGGTCACTGCTGAGGTTCACAAGAGCAGCTCATGGAATGTGTGCTGGGGGGGAGGGGGTCACAAAAGCCAGAAGGGCCTAAATGGAGGGGGTTGAGTGAGTAGGGTAGAATGGGACACAGCACAGGCCACCTGCCCCACAAGGAGGGGCCCAACAATCCTGACTGCCCAAGACAGATTTCCTGGGAGGTGAGACTTTCAGCCTTCAAATCAGGAAAGGGCAGAGCATGGTGCCTCAGCCTATAATCCCAGCACTTTGGGAGGCTGAGGTGAGTGGATTGCCTGAGGACAGGGGTTCAAGACCAGTCTGGGCAACTTGGTGAGACCTCATCTCTACAATAAATCACAACAACTAGCTGGGCATGGTGGCATGCGTCTGTAGTTCCCGCTACTCGGAAGGCTGAGGCGGAAGGATCTCCTGAGCCCAGCAGGTTGAGGCTGCAGTGGCCATGAGCGTGGCACTGCACTCCAGTTGGGCAACAAGAGTGAGACTAACTTAAATAAATAAATAAACAAATAAATAAAAATCGGGAAAGAACCTGGGCAAACTGAACCAGTCGGTCCCTCTGCCCACGAGCGTGGCTGCAAAGGGGACTAGGAAAAGAGGAAAGGGGCAGAGCTGGTGCGGAATGTGGAGGTCAAGGGACAATTCTCTTTTGTACCACATGTCAGACACGTTTCTATGGTGACAAAAACAACCCAGGAAGGTCAAGTTTGACATTACAGGAAAACGGGAGAATGACAGGTGTGCCATCACGGGTGGGCAAGAGGGAAGGGACTTAAGTGCTCCAGCGGAGGGTGACCTTTGACAATTCACCCACCAAAACAGACTCCACTGTCACCTGCACACAGGATGCAGGGTCTGGGAACATATGCGATGTCTTTTATTTTCTCCCAAGACAAGAAGCCTGATCATAAGTGGAAGCGAGAAGGGGAGAGAGGTGAAGACACATCCAAGAGGTGGGGAGGAAAGAAAGGCCATAAAATACAGCTGTGGAGGGGGAGGTGCACACGACACATGACAGAGCAGGACATGGAACCTGAGGCGTGTCAAGAGAACCGGAGTACTAACCGGGCCCAGGAATGTCAGGTTGGCCACCTCAAGGAACGAGTTGAGCAAGGAGGAAGTGCCAGAGATGTTGAAAATCCACAGGAAGGAGGGGAAGCAGTTACCACAGAGGGCAAGTTCAAGGCTGAGGCTCCCAACCTTGGCCAGACATCAGAATTATCTAGGGTAACTTTCTAAAATCCCTAAATCTAGGCTACGCCAAGACCAATTACATCAGACTGTGAGGGCAGGAGCCGAGCATCAATGTCTTGTTTTTAAACAGTTTCACTCTGTTGCCCAGGCTAGAGTGCAGTGGCATGCTCATGGCCACGACAGCCTCGACTTGCTGGGCTCAGGCAATCCTTCCATCTCAGCCTTCCAAGTAGCTGGAACTACAGGCACGTGGCACCACACCCGGATAGTTTTTTTTTTTCTTTTTGAGTTGGAGTCTCACTCTGTCGCCCAGACTGGAGCGCATGGCCGCTCCCGACCACTGCAGCCTCGACCTGCTAGGCTCCGGCGATCCTTCCGCCCCAGCCTTCCAAGTAGCCAGAATCACAGGCACGTGCTACCATGCCCAACTGATTTTTTAATTTATTATAGGGATGAGGTCTCGCCACCGAGCACAGCTTTTTCTTGATTTATTGTAGAGATGAGATCTCGTCAAGTTGCCCAGGCTGGTCTCAAACCCCTGGGCTCAGGCAATCCTCTCACCCAGCCTTTCAAACTGCTATAGGCATGAGTCACTGCACCTAGCCCTTAGTGTTCTCTTTTTAAAACTCTAGAATACCAGGTGCTGTGGCTCACGCCTGTAATCCCAACACTTTGGGAGGCCGAGGCAAAAGGATGGCCTAAGTTGAAGGCGTTCAAAACCAGCCTGGGCAACTTTGCCTCATCTCCACAGTAAGTTAAAAAATGAGCTGGGTGTGACGGTGCATGCCTGTAGTTCCAGCTACTTGGAAGGTTGAGGCAGAAGGATCACCTGAGCCCAGCAGGTCGAGATTGTGGTGGCCATGAGCATGCCACTGTGCTCCACCGTGGGTGACAGTGAGACTCCAACTCAAAACAAAACAAAAAACCCTGAGGAGTCCAATGTTCAGGGAACTGGTCCAGGTTATGACCAAGAGATAGGAGCTGAGGTCAGGCTGGAGCACAAGATAGTTAGATGAGAGATCAAGGAATCAGGGTCCAGGTAGTCAAAGGGTCATCTATGCAGCGTTAAAAAAAAAAAAAAGTATTATTATTATTATTTTTTTTTTTTTGAGTTGGAGTCTCACTCTGTCGCCCAGGCTGGAGTGCAGTAGCCGCTTCCGGCCACCGCAACCTTGACCTGCTGGGCTATGGCGATCCTTCCTCCTCAGCCTTCCAAACAGCTGGAACTACAGGCATGTACTACCACGCCCAGCTAGTTTTTGATTTATTGTAGAGATGAGGTCTCGCCAAGTTGCCCAGGTGGGTCTCGAACCCGCAGGCTCAGGCAATCCACTCACCTCAGCCTACCAAAGGTGCGGGATTGCAGGCTGAGCCATCGAGCCCGGCTAAAAAGAAAAGTATTATTTTTAAGGTGGGATCTCATTGTCACCAAGGCTGGAATCCAGTGACACAATCAAGGTCACTGCAGCCCTGACTTGCTGGGCTTAGGTGATCCTTCTGCCTCAGCCTCCTGAGTAGCTGAGACTACAGATATGCTTCACCACGCCCAACTTTGTTTTTTTGGGGGAAGACATTTTTAAATGATTACTTCCTGAGAGAGAACCAGAAACAAGTAATTTCTTATTTTGCTGCATATACTTTTCTGTTGGTTTGTTACCTTTCGTATTTCTTTTTTTTTTTTTTTTTTTTTTTTTGAGATAGGGTCTGCCACCCAGACTGGAGTGCCATGGCACTATACTGGTTGACTGCAGCCTCGACCCCCTGGTCTCAAGTGATCCTCTTGTCTCAGCCTCCCAAGTAGCTGGGTCCATAAGCATGCACCGCCACACCCATCTAGTTTTTAAAAATCTTTTGTAGAGATGGGGTCTTGCTATGTTACCCAGCCTACTCTCCAACTCCTAGGCTCAAGTGATCCTGCCGCCTCCCAAAGAGCTGAGATCACAGGCATGACCCACCTCACCCGGCCATCTATGTGCCTTTTGAAACATCTATGAATTAGGACAGGAAGAATAAAGAATGGCAGTGGGAAGGAGCTCAATTGTTCTAAAAGCGAGGAGCAGCCAACCAAGGGGCTAACACCCACAGAGTGGCGAAGGAAGTGTTGATATGTGGCCTTCAAGACCGGGGCCTTCTGAATGGAGCAGGGAGGAACAAGAAGGAACTTGGAGGCGGCAGGAACGGAGGACCAGGCTCTAGTTAAGAGCAAGAAAGGACAAGCGCATTCAGAGGCTGAGGAGGGCCCAGTGGGAGGATGGATCAGCCTCAGCTCTGTGGGTACGGGTTGATCTGCAGGTCCCAACTCTGTGAGGACAAGGACTCCATGAGCTCACACACGCAGAGCACTGAGTACGGGGCCCAATAAGTGTGCACGATCGTTCCTCTGCGTGTTCTGCGCCACACGGCCCAGCCATCCACCCTTTCCCCAGACCAAGGAAAGTTACCCAGAAGGCCTGGAAGTGGCAGGTCTCCAACAGATCCCCAAGGTACAAAATCTGTCGGATCGGCCGCTCTTCTTGCTAGGAGGAAGAATTAAGGGAAAATGGTATCGGAGCCAGGAAAGGCTGGGTCTGGGCACCAGATCACCCCTTCCCACCCACCTCATTCAAGTCCTCTTCCCCTGAAGGTTCAACTTCGAAAAACGGAAAAACAAAGCTACCCTACGTCTACAGACATTGTGCTGCAATGCTACCTGTTTTTTTTTTTTTTTTGAGTTGGAGTCTCACTCCGTCACCTAGGCTGGAGTGCAGTGGCACACTCACGGGCACAACAGCACCAACCTGCTGGGATCCAGCACGCCTTCCACCTCAGCCCTCCAAGCAGCCGGACTACCGGCACACGCTACCACACCTGGCTAATTCTTGATTTATTGTAGAGACGAGGTCTCACCAAGTTGCCCGGGCTGGTCTCGAACCCACAGGTTCAGGCAATCCACTCACCTCAGCCTCCCAAAGTGCTGGGATTACAGGTCGCACCCAGCCACAATGCCACTTGTTTTTTTTTTTTGAGTTGGAGTCTCACTCTGTCGCCCAGACTGGAGTGCAGTGGCTGCTCCTGGCCACCGCAGCCTTGACCAGCCGGGCTCCGGTGATCCTTCCGCCTCAGCCTTCCAAGTAGCCGGAATTACAGGCATGCGCTACCACACCCAGCTGATTTTTTTTTGATTTATTGTAGAGATGAGGTCTCACTGCCCAGGCGGGTCTCGAACCCGCGGGCTCAGGCAACCCACTCACCTCAGCCTCCCAAAGGCACAGGATTACAGGCTGAGCCACCGAGCCCAGCTCACAATGCTACTTGTAATAGCAAAAGATGAGAACTGATCTAAGGGTCCAATGACGGCGGTGAGGAAATAAGCAGAGGCGCCTCCTCACACTGTGACCAAGTCAACACTTATGGAACTGACAAGGACATGGACATCTCCCACCACTTGGGTAGGGGGAGTCTACATGTGCATGAACACACACCTATATTTAAATTTTTTTTTTTTTTGAACAGGAGTCTCACTCTGTCGCCCAGACTGGAGTGCAGTGGCCACTCCCAGCCACCGCAGCCTCAACCTGCTGGACTCAAGACGATCCTTCTGCCTCAGCCTTCCAAGTAACTGGAACCACAGGCGCGTGCTACCACGCCCGGCTCATTTTTTGATTTATTGTGGAGACGAGGTCTTGTCATGTTGCTCAGGGTGGTCTCAAACCCAAGTTCAGGTAATCCTCTTACCTCCACCTCTCAAAGTGTTGGGATTACAGGTCTGTTTTTTTAAAAGCCACCAGAACACTCCTGGGGGAGGTACAGAATCTCTCTCAGAAGGCAGGACCTCCCACGAACACACCAGGCAGAGCGGGTTCAGTGAGTCACCTGCCACTGAGCACTACCACCAGCAAGCAGGCAGGTACGGCAGCCATGGCCACAAAGGCCCAGCCACCTGCCTTGTCAAGCACAGGAGGACTCTGCTGAGCTTGTCAGGTGATTACATGAAAGTTGGAGGATCAGCCGGGCTCGGTGGCTCAGCCTGTAATCCTACGCTTTGGGAGGCTGAGGTGAGTGGATTGCCTGAGCCTGTGGGTTCAAGACCCGCCTGGGCAACGTGGCGAGACCTCATCTCTACAATAAATCAAAAAATTAGCCGGGCATGGTAGCACACACCTGTAGTTCCAATTACTTGGAAGACTGAGGTGGAAGGATTGCTGGAGCCCAGCAGGTCAAGGCTGCGGTGGCCAGGAGCATGCCACTGCACTCCAGTCTGGGCGACAGAGTGAGCCTCCAACTCAAAAAAAAAAAAAAAAAAAGAAAGTAAGTTGGAGGATCACCTGGACAAGCAATGGAGCAGTCACAGAAAAGCAGGTCAAGAAGGAGAGAGAGAGATCACTGATTTTCACTCAACATTCACTAAACACCACTCACTTCTAATTTTTTAAGTGTTCCCTCCTCCAGGAAGCTTTCCCTAACCTCCAGGCAAGCTCAGATGACTCCTGTGGCCCCTTTAACTCCAGCCCTGGCCCACCCCAGACTACTACTAATGGGGAACCTGTCTGTCTCCTCACTGGGTTGTGACAGCATTGTGAATGGAGGGCCCTGGCCTGTCCTAGTGTCCTATCCCTGCCCAGCACCAGGCCAAACCCAGAGCAGGCTCCTGGTGTTTGTGAATGAACTTACAGACCATTTCGTATGAATTCATCTACCTCCGACTCCTGTCCCCACACCCTACATCCCGGATCTGGAAGGATACATGTGCCTGGTCAATCATGCACTTGCACAGGGTAAAGTCAGTGTGGGGCAGGTTGGTGAGGGCCTTCAGCAGGATCTGGGCAGTGACCGTGGTCTGAAAGAAGGCTGGGTTGAACTGGTACCTGAGAAGAGGAACAAGAGACATGTCAACAGTGGCACCTCAAGGTCCCCAACCCTCCCCAGGCACCAGCCAGGCTGCCCAGGGCTTTAGTCTAGACCTTGGGAGTTGGACATGCCTGGGCTTCAATCCCAACACTTTCTGGTTGTGCAACCTTAACCTCCCTGAGCCGTGTTTTTCTGCTCTGTAAACAGGGATAGTTAATCCTCACAGCATCTCATTCTGTAGCCCATGCTGGCGTGCAGTGGCACCCTCATGGCCACCACAGCCTCGACCTGCTGGGCTTAGGTGATCCTTCCACTTCAGCCTTCCAAGTAGCTAGAACTACTACAGGTGAGCACCACTATGCCCGGCTAATTTTTTTTATTTATTGTAGAGATGAGGTCTCGCCAAGTTGCCCAGGTGGTCTCGAACCCTTGGGCTCAGGCAATCCTCTCACCTCTGCCTCCCAAAGTGCTGAGATTATAGGTGTGAGCCACCGCACCAGGCCAGGGGAGACACTCTTAAGTGACTCACAAACAAGTACAGAAGCAGCAGTTTGAAATAGTGGTGAAAGCTCTGGAGCCAGACCACCTCAGTTTAACCTTCCCTGCAAGCCGGGCACAGTGACTCAAGCCTGTAATCTCAGCACTTTGGAAGGCTGAGGCGCAAGGACTGACTGAGCCCACAGGTTCAAGACCAGCCTGGGCAACTTAGTGAGACCTCGTCTCTATAATAAATAAAAAAATTAGCCAAGCATGGTGGCATGTGCCTGTAGTTCCACCTACTTGGAAGACTGAGGCGGAAGGATCTCCTGAGCCCAGCAGGTCAAGGCTGGGGTGGCCAGGAACGTGCCACTGTACTTCAGTCTGGGTGACAGAGTGAGACTCCAGCTCAAAAAACAAAAAACGAAAAATAAATAAAAACATAAACTTCCCTGCAGAGTGACCTTGGACTGCATATTTTAAGTTCTCCATGCCTAAGCTTCTCCCTTGCAAGAGGGTAACGTCCATATGTACATCACAAGGGTGTTATAACAACTAGGTGAGTTAATACATACACAGCCTGTAGCACAGTAGCTAGCAGATGGTGATGTTACCATAGATAACAACCTAAACCACCCCACAAACATGAGCATTACTACACAACTGGTAATGTGGCATGAAGCATCCGAGTGGAAGAACCCAATGTCCATCAACAGAGAAGCAGATCTTAACCAAAAATGGACTTCACACACAGTGCCGAGTGGAAGATGCTGGGTGCAAAAGAGCTCATGCTCTATGATTACATTGTGTCAAGTTCAAAGCAGACAGACCCTAACAAGCTGATCCAGATGCGTGTGTGTGTGTGTGTGTGTGTGTGTGTGTGTGTGTGTGTGTGTGTGTGTGTGTGCATGGTAAAATGAGGTTATGGTGGCAGGGAAGGGGGAGTGTCACAGAGTAGATAACCACAGGGCTTGTGGTGCTAGCTGGCAACACTTTTGCAACACGGATGGTGATTACATACATGGGAGTTCATTAATAATAATTTGCTAAACTACATTTTTTCCTTATGTATTATCCTGTATATGCAATTTGTAATTAATTTTTGAAAAACCATCCCCACCCCTCCAGCCCCAACTTCCTTGGCTTCTTAGTCTTGCACACCAAGAGAAGCCACATCCTGCAGGCTATCCCCAGTTGCTCCCTCTCCCCATGTTGGGAGTGGCATCCTGCTAACTACTAGCACATGGGTGACAGGGCTAGATGCTCACAGCTTCAAAACAGCCAGGTTGGCTTCCAGATCATAGGCATTCTCCTTGGCCTGTGTTTCCACGTAGCGCTCCAAGGTGGCCAGGTTTTCAGGATTGTACCTAGAGGAAAATCAAGACGGGTGAGCAGAGAAGAGACAGAAGCTGAAGCCTGTCACTTTATGGTTTCCTTCCCCTCTAAATCTGGCATTGGCCACCGACTACCCAAGTAGTAAATCCCCTCTGTAACCTCTTAAAAAAACACCTGTCCAGATCCCAGGCATCTCGCCTGAGCTCTAAACTCCATCAGACCCTGGGTCTTGCCTAGCATGCCTTCCCAAACTCTTACCCAGTCAGTCACTGCAACCTGCATACACGGCCTCCTGAACATCTCTGCTACCCGTCCCTTCCTCCTCTCCTCAGTCTCCCACCGTGGTCCAGCCCCATCCTCTCCTGTTTGGTTTGATGCCTAGCTTCTCCCATTTCAGCTCAAATCACTGCCAGCGATCACCGTCTGTGGTCGACTTTGTCTCCTCTCTAGAATGGGAACTCAGTCCACAAAAGCATGACCTGCGGCTGCCTTGGTCGCGTCTTGCTTCCAGCATTGCCTGACACTGACACACTTCAGTGAACGCTGTGTTCAATGAATGACATGAAAGACAGAGAAGAGACTGAGAGGCACTTTTAGACATCTCCTCCTCCAGGATGCCCTCCTCACCTCCAGAAAAAGGAGAAACCCCACCCCAGGGCAAGCCCAGGACCCTGACCGCCCCTTGCTGTCTCCGGAAAATTCTCTCCTCCACCCCGCTTGGCCAGCGCGCTTCTTCCGACCGGGTTCAGACCTGTCGATACCCTTGAGTAACTTGCCCACGTTCGCTCTCATCTGCTCAAACATAGCCATGTCTACGGTCGCGTTCCACAACTAGGGCTAGAGATGAATACCACACCAGCACGCCGTCCTCGAGGACCGGAAGAGGAAGAGAGAGAGAGTGGAAACGGAAATACGTCATTGTTGTTGCCACAGCTCCGGGGTCAGGGGTGGTGAAGGGAAAGGCTCTTGCAGCCGCCACGCTTTCCGGCTGCCACGTGACTTTTCCCAGCAGGCGAATTGGCGCGTGCGCATTCCCTCCGTCCGAACCGGACCAACGGCGTGAGAAAAAGCTTAGTCTACCCTCATGCGCAGGCGCCTCTAGGGGCGAGGAGGCGGGGCTGAGCTTTTCCCGGGTCTCGGGTACCCAGGTCCAGCGCCTGCGGCGTGCTTGCGCGTGCGCGTGCGCGTGCGCGAACTGTCCGGGAAATAACCGACGGTCTAGCGGCGTGCGTGCGCGTCACTTTGCGCGCGGCAGTGAACCCTTAGAACTCTGCGGGGATGCGCAAAGTAGTGGCCTCTCCTTTGGGCAGGGGGCCAGTCCCGAGGGATTTGCTCTCTGAGAGCCCTCTTGCCTCAGGCCTGGGCCCGTGAAGCAGGATGCTGAGCTCCCTAGTTTCAGGTCCCGGACCCTGGGCCCCACCCTCCATCCCAGTTCCAAGAGTGGAGTCCCACAAAGCTGTTGTGCTCTGCCGGGCAGGGGCAGAGGTGACGGGCTTCTGGACCCTGCCGGATGGCGCCCAGCTTCCGTTCGGTTCCGATCCTGGAGCTGAGGGCGAGCGGCCCATGTCTGCTGCTACGAGTTTTCTTTTTTCTTCTTCTTTCTTTTTTTTCTTTTCTTTTTTTTGTGTCTTGGAGTGTCACTCGGTCGCCCAGACTGGAGCGCAGTGGCCGTTCCCGGCCACCGCAGCCTCGACCTGCTGGGCCCCGACGATCCTTCCGCCTCAGCCTTCCCAGTAGCTGGAGCTCCAGGCGCGCGCTAGCACGCCCGGCTCATTTTGGTTTATTGTGGAGATGAGGTCTCGCCAAGTTGCCCGGGCGGGTCTCGGTCCCGCGGGTTCAGGCAGTCCACTCGCCTCGGCCTCCCAAAGTGCTGGCCTTACAGACTGAGCCACCTAGGCCGGCCTAGCCATGAGTCACAGGCTTTTTGTACACTGCAGGCGTGAATGCACAGGCATGTGTCATGTATGTGGAGACACCTGCTCTGGGTGATCCGCACGTGTATGCACAAGTATCCAGGCATGTGCACGCCTACACGACTGCGTGCTGTGCAGGAGACCTCACATAACATCACATAAGTGCATGTATGTGCTCCGTGCATGTACTCTGCATAGCCATCTGTGTAGACCTACCAAACATTCAAGCACCCTGCAAAGGTTCAACTACGGTTTTTAGTCACCTCCCAGAACAGGGGAGCGGGTGCTGGGGCACTCCCTAAGTTACAATTAAGATCATTTGCAGGCCGGGCACAGTGGCTCACGCCTGTAATCCCAGCACTTTGGGAGGCCAAGGCAAGAGGATTGCAGGAGCCCACGGGTTGGAGACCAGCCTGGGCAACTTGGCAAGACCAAGTTGATTTACAATAAATCAAAAAATTAGCCAGGCATGATGGTGCACACCTGTAATTCCAGCTACTTGGAAGGCTGAGGCGGAAGGATTGCCTGAGCCCAGCAGGTGGAGGCTGCGGTGGCCATGAGCGTGCCACTGTACTCCAGCCTGGGTAAAGAGTGAGACTCCTACTAAAAAAAAAAAAAATCATTTGCATCACATTTACATCCAGGCCTGGGTCTTAGGGGTGGAGGGTGATCCCCTGGGTCCCAAAGCAAGCTGCGCCTCACAGGCTCTCATCACCCAGGGGACAAGGGGGTGGAGCTGGTTGCACAGCCCTGCAGAGAAGCTGGGGCAGGAAGCGGGAGTGGGGAGGGGGAAGGTCACAGCCCGCGAAGGCAAGGCGGGTGCAGGGCTTGTGGGGAGGGAGGGAGGCGCCAGCACTTGAGCCCTGAGGCCCTGCTGGCCCCTGGGCGCAGGCCCAGCTCCGGCCCCCAGGAATGGACCTCGCAGACCCGGACATTTTTAATAGAGACCCCCGGGACCACTACGACCTGCTGCAGCGGCTGGGTGGCGGCACCTATGGGGAAGTTTTTAAGGTGAGGAAGCCCCTCGGTCCCCATCACCCTCAAACCAGTGACATTTGGGATGAGGCCAAGAAGGGAACAGGGCGCAAGGGTGTCCCAGGCCTAGGCCTTGGCTCAGGAATGCTGAGGAGGGACTCAGGCAAATGGAGCCTGCCTGACTGCCAACTTCCCCTTTACCAGGCTCGAGACAAGGTGTCGGGGGACCTGGTGGCATTGAAGATGGTGAAGATGGAGCCTGGTGAGGAGGGAACACAGGAGATCCTTCCCCACCTCCCCGCCCCACCTCCTGGGACACTGGGACCACCTCCCCCTCAGCTCCCTCCTGAAATCGGCTTTTCCTCTCCTGCCCCACCTCATAGATGATGATGTCTCCACCCTTCAGAAGGAAATCCTCATGTTGAAAACTTGCCGGCACGCCAACATCGTGGCCTACCACGGGAGTTATCTCTGGTGATGAACCTCAGCTCTGCCCTGGCACCCAGCTCGGCCCCTAACCCACATCCCCCACTTCTGACTGGGATACCCCCTGACTGATCTCGAATCCTGAACTTCCATTTCTGAGTGGGGCACCCAAACCTGGCCTCTGATCATAGGCACCCATTTTTAACTGGGTACCCCTCGCCTGATCAACAGTCAAAATCCCACTTTTCTGACCAAAGCACCCCCTAATCTAGTCCCCAATCCAGAACTTATATATCTGATCAAGGGCCCCGAATTGACTCCTTTATGGTAACCAAAGCTGAAATCAACTGCCCTGAAACTAATCTGACATCATCCTGCCTTTGCGGTCTCCCAGTTTCACTTCACTCATTTCCTATGAGCACCTAAATCCCCTGACCCCCAAATTAATATTCCAGACACCCTAATGATGACTCTTCTACCCAGATATGGTGCCCTGGGCCTCTCTGTCTCCCCTAAACCCCCATGACCTGTGAGATCTCTGCCCTGTCTCCCAGGTTAGCAAGGGACAGCAGAAAGCGGGCCGTGGGTTTGGAGCCCAAAGTCCTAGGTTCAAGTTGAGTTGCCCCTGAATACACATTTCCTCTCTGAGCCTTAACTTCCTCATCTGTAAAATGGGAACGAAGCAGTTTTACTCTCGTGGGCAATTGAGATAGAGTGACAGCTATTGTATTAAAGTTCTTAACGAACTAGAACAAGACCAGCCGTGAACCCAGGGCTTTCCTATCAATGATAATGTATTATTGCTATTACTATTGTAACTCTTGAACCAACCATCGTAGGTTGCAAAAACTCTGGATCTGCATGGAGTTCTGTGGGGCTGGTTCACTCCAGGACGTCTACCAAGGTTAGAGAAAGGACTTCCCACGTCTACTTCTTCCGACTCTGTGTGTGTGTCTTGCGTGAACTGTATTTCTGGTTCATATTTCAGTCGGTGAGCCCCTTCCTCTAGGCCTGGGCCTGGCCTGGCCTGGATGATGCTGGGGACACCACGGTGACCAAGCAGGCCCCTGCCCGTCCAGCCCCAGTCTCTCTGCAGGCAATGATCCTGTCTACCTTCCCCACCCCGTCTTTGTCCCAGTGTCTGCATTTTCTTGCCAAGGTCTGTTTGTGTGTTTGCATATTTGTGCATTTTCTGGCCCATTGGTGCCCAGATTTTCATCAAAGGAGTGAGTGAATGTCTGGTTCTCTCCGTCAGTCTGCCTAGAGTTTTAGGCAGTGTGGGGGGCGTGGGGAGGACTCTGATCACCTATCTGAATTTCTGCTGTCCATTCTGACTCCCTCCAACCCTAGGCCTCAAATATTTAGAAAGGAAGGACTTCATTAAAAAGTCCTCAGGGGGACTTATGGCTTATACAGACTTGCCCCAGTCCTTCCCTACTGAATTTTCATATTCATCAATAAATAAGTTTTTCTCCCAAAAAAAGTCCTCAGGGGGAAACTGAGACCCACAGAGAGGAAGTGAATCACACAGCCAGTCTGTCAGACCTGACTCCTGACTTTCTGTCTCTCATGTCTCCCTGTTGCTCCCCCTCCACCCTTCTGTGTCTCTCTTTTTCTAAGTATGTCTGTCTTCCCACATTTTGGTCTCTGGCCACCTCTTTCTCTGTCTCTGTCTCACGTTGGCTCTGTCTCCGTTTCTCTGGCTTTCTCTTCACCCCTGTCTCCGCGTCTCTCCACCTTTCCTCATTATGCCACGTCACATCACTCCCTGTTCAGAGCCCCCCATGGCTCCCATTTCCCTCGGAAGAGAAGGCCAAACTCCGCCAGGGTCCCCCAGGCTGACACCTCACCTCCTACTGGTCTCCCTTTGCTGCTTTTCAGAGCCACCAGGGACTCCCCCAGGTCGTAGGGACTCTCCAACCCCCCGGGCGCTGCACTGGTTGTTCCTGTCCCGAGGGGGTCTCCTCACATCTCACCCTCCGTCACCTTCGAGTAGCCACTGCTACCACCTTGTGTAGAATGTCATATCCCTTCCCACACGTTTCCTTTCTTGCTTTGTTTTTCTTCTAGCTATTTAGAGAAGGGTGGGCATAACAATGTAGTGCGTCACAGGCATCATCTGACGCACGACATATTGTCCTTAATGTCCTTGCGTACTTCCTGTCACCCCCACTGGAATGTCCTCTCCACCAGGGCAGGGATGCCTGTCTCGTTTGTTCACAGCCACGTCCCCAGTGCCTGCCACAGTGCCTGGCACACAGTGCCTGGCACACAGTTGATACACCATAAGTATCTACTGAATGGCCGTCTGTCTCCCTCCTGCCTCAGTTTCCCCGCATTGCCGCCTCTCTGTTACCGACCACCCCACCAGCTCCCCCTCCCGCTGGTCCCATCCTGTTCCCCCTCCCCTTGTGGCACCCTCTCAGCTGGTGTGGGGGAGGGCAGGACTCCCCGTCCAGGCTTCCTGGCTCCCCACCCAATGCCTGGCCTGGCCGGGGTGACCTTTGCAGTGACGGGCTCCCTGTCAGAACTCCAGATTAGCTATGTCTGCCGGGAAGTGCTCCAGGTGAGGAGAAGCCCGAGGGGCTTGGCAGGGGGGAGAGGGTCCCAAACAGCCCCCAGGCACTCAGAGCCCCCTCGTCGTCCTCCCTTCTCCTCAGGGACTGGCCTATCTGCACTCACAGAAGAAGATACACCGAGACATCAAAGGTGGCCTGGGGACGAAGGGGTGCCACCGGAGGGTGGGGCCCAGGAGATGGGTGTGGCATCTGGGGGGCTCAGGAGTCAGGGTAGTTTGAACTTTGGGGCGGAGGTCTCTGTAGACGCTAATACCTCCCTCTCATACCCAGGGGGCCAACATCCTCATCAATGATGCCGGGGAGGTCAAACTGGGTACGTGTGACTGGGGGTTGAGCAGAGGGACTGACTGGGGGACCGGGAGCACAGGAGACCCCACGTCACTATATGTCTCCCTCTGCCTGCAGCTGACTTTGGCATCTCAGCCCAGATCGGGGCAACTTTGGCTAGACGCCTCTCTTTCATTGGGACGCCCTACTGGTGAGGGGTGCCTGGTGGGCAGGTCGGGTGGCACAGGGGATAGTGGCTTTTCCCACCCTGGTTCCCTGGGAATCTCTCTCCTGGCTTTGTTTCCCTGCCTCTGCCTTCTCCATGGAAGATTCTTTCATTCTCTTTGGCTCTCTCTTGAGTTTTCCATTTAACGGAGTCTCTCTGTGCCCCTCTCTGCCTGTTTCTGTGTTGATTTTGATCTTGACCCGTCTCTCTGTGTCTGCCTATTTCTGTCTTTTTCCTCTGTCTCAGTCTGTGGCTGTCTCTGTCACTCTCATTCTGTCTCTATCTCTGTCTGTCTCTCTTCAGTCCATCCCTGTCTTTGTCCATCTCTTTTTTTTTTTTTTGAGTTGGAGTTGAGACTCCAACTGTCGCCCAGACTGGAGTGCAGTGGCCGCTCCCGGCCACTGAAGCCTCGACCTGCTGGACTCCGGCGATCCTTCCGCCTCAGCCTTCCAAATAGCTGGAACTACAGGTGCGCGCAACCATGCCCGGCTAATTTTTGATTGATTGTAGAGACGAGGTCTCGCCAAGTTGCCCGGGCAGGTCTCGAACCCGCGGGCTCAGGCAATCCTCTTGCCTCTGCCTCCCAAAGTGCTGGGATG